GACAGGAAGATAGCGGATGAGTCAGACACGACTGATCGGACCCGGACAGGGGTTTTACGCCTCATTTGAACACTTGTTTAGTAACAGTTGTGCGGCACTCGTAACACGATTAGGGCGAACAATAAGTACCGAAGATTAGATGTATTACAATAAGAGTTAGTTCGTTCGTTTGCTTGTTTGTCTGTTTGTTGGAGTGAAGAGAAAGACGTCGACACAATGATGGTCATTTAGTGCTGGGAAGAAGTAAGACAGGTAGAAACAACAGAGGGAAAGTAAAGAAGCAGGATCTACTGGTGGCGCCCTCCAAGAACCCGCACCAGCACAAGAGAGTAACAAACACACCAAAAAGAGGAGAGATAAAGACGATAGATCATTTGAACACTGTACGATTGTGTTTAAACAACAGATGTCGGTACACTAGAGCGCGAATTCATTGATATGTTATTGTGTGGTATATTTCTGTTAAAAGTAAAATTTAGCCTTCCATTCGGGACTCAGTTGATCTAGTACAAACACCAGGGTACAACATTCTCAGTGGGGTCCCGTTGGATTCTCCATGATGTCATATTACGAGAAACCCACTTTTAAGTTACTTTAAGAACGGAGGGGGGGGGGGGTCGTAAAGATTTTACTTTCCTTTAATGACATTTTAACAGAATTTGCTATACAATTAAGTCATATTAAGCCCAAGATTAGAGGTGTTTAATAGAGTATCATTTTTAAAAAAAGGAAAAAGAGCTGGAGAAGTAAGAGAAATACGTGTTTGATAGCAAAAGAAGGAGCAAACCACACTAGAGCACCCACCCGCCAACAACCCACGGTTGACGTTTTCCTTTACCGAAATGTATTAATATTATGTTAACGCCCTTTTCACCGCTGTGAGGTAGCGCAAAGCGCGGCGGGACCTCTACACCATTTGCCTGACAATTTAGTTTTAGTAAGAGTTTTACGGCACTTGCAACACAATAAGATCATATAAGTGCCGAAGATTAAAGGCGTTACAAGAAAGAAACAAACACACAAAAAATGGGAGAGATCAGGACGATAGATGTTTGGTTGGAAAGAAGGAGCAAACCAGAGCACCCGCCAACCACCCACTCTCTAACAGTTACACAATTTCGCGTTACACAAGCTGCTACGTATGCACGCCCATAACTTAACATGTGAAATTAATGTGCTAACATTTTGTTCCGAGATTCAGCGGCTAATCCGCGTGTAAATCTCGGCATATCGTGACAAGAAGACGCCTCGCACTGAAAGGCCGTGGAACTGTTGAGTGCGTGACTTATCTTAGGGTCAGTTCGAGGCAAGCTGGGATATTATGAAATCTTCAGAGCTACAGAGGGAAGGAAGAAGGGGGTGCTGGGGGGG